CATGAGTCCCATCGGAATTCATCGATATGGTTCTAGAAGTTTTTCACCAATAGTAATTAAGTCAATTAAGATTTTCTGCTATATTTCATGTGAGACTCAAACATCGCGCTTTTTTGGCTAGTCAGCCTTTCTTAAATGATTCAAAACTGCTGCGTAAGTAATACTCATTGCCTACGCTATCTCTTTATAGCCAGCATGCCGGCTGCTAAATCAGTTGTAGAATTTCATCAGCTTTTTGAGAGACAGGCGGACCTGAGGGAAACACTTCTTTGACAACAAAATATCACTAGTTGAATCGAGCGGACCACTTATGGGTCTGACATTCACTTTCAGCATTAACAGCTCCCACTGAAAATTTGTTCCCAAAATGTCAGCTTGGAAACACGTGTTAGTTTGACACAATGAATTAGTGTGATGTTGTTCGAAATCCACACACTGATAACTTTGGTTTCATGAAGGTTAGGCTGTTGATAAGAAAATACGGAGCGCATCTCGTTATCACCATGTATACAAATCGGCTACAGACCGACAGCTGATGTACTCCATAATCGCAATTTCAACGGTTATTCCATTAAAAAAAAACTTCAATGTACCGGAAACCAGTACCCAAAACAGTTTTCTACACAAACCCCGGCACCAGACCTTCATCCATTCGATTGAGGGAAGTTCAGAAATTTACAATTGTCCCTATGGCTTACTTCCAGCAAACGTGTTTTCATAAGGTCATTTTTAACATCTAATATCCTTGTTATAAATCGGCCGCATAGTTCAAGCATTTCAATTTAGTTTCTCACTCGCGCAACCACATAACCACACTTTACAGCCATTACCGTTGCTGTTGTTTTGTGGACGCACTAATCGGCATGTTTTTGGTGAAAATATTCTCGATAACTTGTGCCAGCAACAAGAAAAAATTCAAAACTCGGGGAATTTTGTCTGCCACTTCGACTTAATTTTTCAGTTTTCCGTGTTTTTGTTTTTTTTTTGTTTGTTTTGTTTTGTTGTTTCTTCCCTACAATTATTTGGCATTCGTAATATTCAGAATTTCCACAAGGCCAAAAGTCATGAAATGCCATACTCATGCTATATATTATGTAAGCAGTACATAGCTGGTTGGCATATTGGATGTTCTGATTGCCACAGTCACTTTATCCTGCCCACGAGGTGGCCGGTTAAAGTTTCGTAGTACACTCGTAGCTCGTACTGCATAGTTTGTCGGTTGGTTAGTTAGTGAGTTTGGACTGCGGAGTTTAGTTTATTGTTTTTTTTTTTTTGTTTTGTGCTGTTGCACGTTTACAGGGCTATATTTGAATTGCCTTGTTGTTGTTTTTGTTGTTGCCACGAAAAGTTTATGAAATGCCAAACTTGTTGTCATCAACATTATTGTAGTTGTTGTTCTTGATGGGAATACTTGCTTTATTTCTTCGTTTCCCAGTCAACAAGTTGGAAACCTAAAAACACCGTAAAAGTCTTTGATTTCAATGTGAAAGCGTTGTCGAAATATGAATTATTATTTTCTAAAATCTAAATAAATAAATATTGCGTAATGCCATTCGGAAGGTCGTGATCCAATCCTGGTACGACCAACCTCAAAAGGTTATGGGAAATGAATTTAAATAAAAAGTTAAGTTAAAATTTCTAATCGCGGTCACTCCTCGGCAGGGAATGTCCACCATTTCGAGTGCATTTCGTACATGAATAGATGAAATAGATAAAAAAAAACTCATCAGGCGTTCGAAGATGGCTTACAATAAACTGTAGGTCTCTTCATTTGTAGGAAAATCATCAAGACGCAAAATCACAAATTGGAGTGGCAGCTCACCCGAGTATTGCTTCAGCGGTTACAAAGTGACATATATATATATATATATATGAGTACATCTTCAAGTTGTGAATTAAATTTGCGCACCCCTCGCCTTCTACGTCGTTGGCGCTGATAGGCGGCTTAGTAGTTAAAATATTCCCTTAAAGCGCTAAGTAAGTCCTGCCATCACCAAGAAATTAAATTTCAAAAAATGCGAACTCTTGTTGGGTTACAAGTATTTGCCTTGAGCTACGGTTGTGTGTGTCTATGTGTCTGTGTGTGTATGGAAATGTAGATAAATTCGCCAGCGTGTTGTGTATGAGATTATGCTGAAAGCTTCTACAACTTCTACAACTTTTGTGGCGCTTAATTAAAATGTGTGGGATTTTTTTTGTCGGGTGCACCTTTGAAGAAAGTGCTTAAGCACCCAAAGCAGTGGTCTAAAATTAGCAAAAATATCTCATCCTTATTTCATATATAAATTTGTGTGCCATATATTTACCGTTAATTTTATTTAAAAGCTTAAACCTAATTTTTCTCATTAAAAGTTGAAGTGTTTAAGGTTAAGGTCGCATTATTAGACGGAAAGCTGGAAATTTTATAGTATATTAACGCTTTTGAGATACACCAACTAAGTGCGTAGGTGTGCAGGTGCATGCCGGAGTAGTTGGTGCCTGCGGAAAATAATGAATTCTTGTAGTAAAGGGTGCTTTTTTACACGTGTGGTTTTAAATGAAGAAATACTTTTAAAAAGATTTGGTATTTTTTCAAAGCTGCCATTATTTTTTACTCTATTTCATAATAAAAAAAATTACAGTGGAATATTATTAGCCAATCGCGCAAATTTGTTATCAAAAGGCAACCACAAATCAATGGTGCGAGCACGTTTACTCTGGTGGATAATGCGCTTCCTCAGAGATGATGTAAGGATCGTGCTGAAGACGCTAATGCTGCTGTTTAGCAGGTTATCGAAGAAGACCCGAATGAGTTCATCCACCATCACACGTGACAAACGGAGCAGTGCCCATCCTCTTTATGGAAGCCTTTGCGGCACTACAAAATCCAACTTGTATAAGAATTGAAGCGGAACGAGGTTCAAGTGCGTCGTACGTTCGGTTAATGGGTTCAAAAGGATTGCACGCCATTCCCGATTATCACAAAAAAATGTTATGGACAGAGGGAATCATTGGTACATTTTGCTTCAAAAATGAAGCCGGCCACAATGTTACATTCATTACATTTGGTATTCCCCATAAGGACATGATTAAAGACTAACGGTCGATATTTGGTTCCTACAAGACACCGCTACATGGCATACAGCCAGCGAAACAATCAATTTATTGAAGCTAACTTAGCGCCTCGAACGCCTTAGCGTGTGCTCCAATATCGTGCAAGTTAGCACTGGAGACCATCAGTTGGGTTGGCTTATCTGAAGTCGCTTGTTGCCCGAAACTATTAACATCTTGGAAGAGATGAAACGGCGCGTTACTGCTCACTTATGGCCCCAATTTCTGCAAGAAGTGTTTGAAAATTGGGCCGAAAATTGGGCCGTACGACAGGAATTTCTTCGAGCCAGCTGCGTAATATTGATGAGTGCATAAGTTCGTGCTCGATTCCGCTGGATGCCGTTCGAATCGTTTGAGTGTGGCGCTCGTGAAAGAAATATATACATATTATATATCGTTGGAAAGGTAACAGTCCGAACTGTAAATCAAGCATAAAATAACTTCATTTTGATTTGAGTTGCTTAGTGAAAAGACGCATAGAAGATGGACAACGAAAAAGATCATAAGCGTCATATTATGTTATACGAATTCCGCAAAGGAAAAACAGTAGGCGCTGCAACTAAAGATATTTGGACCGTGCTCCAGCACTCCGCACAGTAAAGAAATGGTTCGCGAAATTTCGTTCTGGAGATTTTAACCTCGAAGATCAACCTCGCAGCAGACGGCCTTCTGAGCTTGATGACGAAGTTCTAAGGATTTCAGTTGCGAATAACTCACGTATTTCGACGGAAGAGGTTGCCAGTGAATTGAACGTCAACAAATCAACTGCGTTTCGTCGTTTAAAAAAGGTTGGGTACACTTTGAAGCTCGATACATGGGTGCCACATCAGTTGAGTGAAAAAAACAAAGTGGACCGTATGTCAACAGCAATTTCTTTGCTTCGACGGATCAAAAACGAACCTTTTTTGGATCGGCTCGTGACTGGTGATGAAAAATGGATCCTGTACAACAATGTTCAACGCAAAAGAACATGGAAACAGGCACACGAAGGGGCGGAACCGATGTCGAAAGGTGGATTGCATCCGATGAAGGTACTGCTGTGCATTTGGTGGGATATCCGAGGCGTGATCTATTTTGAGCTCTTGCCAGCTGGAGAAACGATCACTGCCAACAAGTATTGTCAGCAATTGGTCGAATTGAAGAAAGCAATTGATGAAAAACGTCCGATTTTGGCCAATCGCAAAGGAGTTCTTTTCCATCATGACAACGCCAGGCCACATGTTGCAAAACCGACCCTGGCCAAACTGAAGGAGATGAATTGGGAAATCATGCCGCATCCCCCATATTCACCCGACATTGCACCTTCTGATTATCATTTGTTTCGATCGCTGCAGAACAATTTGAATGGAAAAAAATTTAAAAATGTGGAAGACGTCAAAAACCACCTTGACACCTTTTTCAACGAGAAACCGCGCGATTTCTATGAATCAGGCATCCGTAAATTGGTTGAACGTTGGGAGTGGATTGCCGAACATGATGGCGAATACATAATTGATTAATAAAAGCGCTTTCTTCAAAAAATTTCAATTTTAGTTTGCACTTGAAATCGGGCACGAACTTATGCACTCATGCAAAATAATTTAGTATATTTCTCCTTTTATTTCTTTTAATATAATTTATTATTATTTATTTCTTATTTTATTTCTCTTCAATTTTATTTTTTTATTTCTCTCCTCCTCTTTTTCTATTTTTTTCTTTTTGTTATTGTGCCATTAAAATTTTGTATTTGTTTAATCATTTTATTTTTAAACTTATTTCATTTGCTCTGTTTTCATTTCTGTTGCTTGTCGGTTTCAGTGGAATTATCCCATTTTGATTTCCCTAAAGTTGATACTACTAAAGTTTTTAAATTTACTCAATTTTAATTATAAATGTTATAATAATTTCAAAATTTATCTCTCTATTTTCAGAATAAATTCCCTTGTGTTCACCTAAAATTGCATGGGAATAAAATATATGAATAGGTTTTGAGGATATTGAAACGTTCGTTACATTTAAGCCAGTGTAAATAAGGTATGTGTGTATTGCTCAATGGTAATTTTTTGAAGTTTATAATTTTAAATTTTTCTAAAAGCAAAAACAGAAACAAAATATTTTCGAAAATGTTGAAAATTTATTTTTTATTTTATTTTTTATTTTATTTTTTTTTTTAATTAAAATTAGTTCAATAAAAACAAGTTTTTCAACTAATCCAAAATTTTGTATTTCCCATTTCAACATTTTGTAATACGAACCCATCTCTTGTTGTCATGCCTTTTGGCAACAACAGTGTTTGCCAAAAGGAAACGAAAAGAAATAAATACAATAGACAGAGCAGACTGGTATAGCAACTTCTAGCTCAATGCAAATAAGCTCAACCCAAGAGTGGTTAGCAAATAGCTTCAATGTACTCAGAGAAACCAGAAAAAAAAACAGGAGATAAAATTTTGTGTATAAACTTGTCAATACCCTTTGTATGATGCAACACAATGCGACATGTCCCTGTACTACATTTGTTGACGTTCTCTGTTTGGCCTTATTTGCCTTAGCACTCATGAAGACATAGATATGCTCTTGCACCACACAGGTGTGATGAAAGCTGAAACATAAGCTTACGATATGGAGAAAACAGTAAATTTTGCAATAATGAAAAAATATTAAAGAGAGAGAGAGAGACGATTTGGCGATAGAATAGAAGGAAATTGTCAAGGCAGCTCTACAAAGACCGCCTCAGCAGAAACCAAGTTGTATAATATATTTACGAATGCAGTCAACGAAGATGCCGAAGTATTTTTTTCTTCTTCTGCTTCTTTTTCTTAGTTTTTTGTTCAATTGCGTGCTAGTTCTTTCATTCCTACCTATATTGGCGCTCATTTAAAGCAACAAGTTAAATCAGGACCTTCTCCTCCTGCTCTAGAGACTTTATGTCCCTGAAAGAAAAAAAAAACAAATAACTCGTCAAGCAAAGATTGTCATGAACTTAGCTTTTGAACTGACATTTAAGAGTTTTGCCAATTCCTCTCATTGAAAACTTTGTTTAAGCTGTAAATTTCCTAGGGTAACCAACGTCTTACTCGAAATTCCACTCACTCATTTAGCATTCCAGTTCACAACTAGTATTTTCCCCCACAGCGACTGTGTATACACACTAAATAGGGTACAATGAACATCTATTGTCTCACATATTTATCTTCAAATATTTGCGAATTCAAACTTGTGTTGCCCTCAGGTGGTACTTTGTGCAAAGTTTAGCTATTTGCGTGAGGCTGAGTTGTGTATGTAGATATGTTGTAAAGGCGAATATGTAAGAAATAAAAGTGAGTTGAGACGAATTTTATTTACGCCATTTTCATGCAGAATATAATCGTATAATATTGTATAATCGCATTTGATGGCCATTAGAAATAATTCAAGCAGATTTTCCATTTATGTTTTCATTTCATTTAGTACCATTTTCAATTGGCTAATTGGCTTTTCAGTGATCTTAAAGGAAAACAAAAAATAAATAAAAAAAAAGCAAAGAAAGCGAGGAATATTAATTAAATTTGAAAGCTTAAAAGTTTATCTTTGCATTTGTGCAAACTTTATTTTCTTTTTTACCAACAATTTTCACCAGACACAAAGTACTTTTTTCACTCCAGTTTTTCCCCTCCTGCTGCTTGTCTATTTGAGAAATCTTGTCATGGTTTTACCCCCGCTTACTTGTGATTGTGCTCTATATCAACATTCTAATTGCTAAGGAAAAATTTAAACTCCGAAGGCTTAGCGTGCTTTTTGTGTTATTCATCATTAAGTGTGTTGTATGAGAAAACGAATGGGTGATTGATGAAAAAAAGCTACCACACCCTCGGCACAAATTGACTGTCGACACCAATTTTCTTTTAGCTTAATACCACACATATTAAACTAAAGATCGGAGTAGTTTACTGATTTTATTTCTGCTTCTTGTAGAAGCTTTTCATGAACGGAGCTTGAATGGCCTTTTCTATCCACAAAAAAAAATAGTATGGAAAAAGCTAAAATCAATTCCAAATCTATCTAACGCGTCCGCCTTTTCATTGCCATCCACATCCGTATGTCTCGACAGCCAAGTTTATCCTCGAATGCCTGTTGGTTGTCTCTAAAAAATAGACTTATTTTTTTAATTTCTTTTTAGGAATACAAGAAAGGATATACAATTTCTATTTAAACATTTCATTGAATATTATTCTTCAATTATTTTGTTATAAAAAGGGGGTTATAAAGTCCATTATTTAATCCATGGCATTTAATCCATGGCAGTTTGTGGATTCCATCCCAAAAGAACTTCTCCGGCTTGAAAGTCAAGAAAGAATCGAGCCAATTTCTGATACCCTGTTCTGAAGTGAAGCGTACTCCGGTGAGGGCATTCTGCATTGATCTGAACAAGTGATAATCGGAAGGTGCTATGTCTATGTCCCACCTCTTGGCTGACTACCAAAAACCTAATGCGGTCCTTCACATTTATCACCTTCAAAAATGCCCACAACGTTTTCTTGGAAGACAGAGTTGTAGGCATTGAATCTGAAGCTACCTTGGCAACTAGTTTTCTTACAGAAGAAACCTGCACCGGTGGCTGCCTTGCGCTTAAACCCAACAGTATAGATATGGATGTCTACAACATTTCTGATAGTCTTACCTGCTGCCCATTCCGCCATGCGAAGGGAAGGAGTAGTTGACTGACAGTAGGTTTCCTTTCCCCGGTTACGTTTAGTCCGAGTTCTGCTATTACTTGCTGCCATGCTCCTCACAGTTAGGGGACTGAAACCAATTGTCTGTGTGATACCTTTAGGCGGTCCTCATATATTGCTAGTAAATTGATTGGCCTAATACCGAGAATGACTATCAGATCATCAGGTTGTTCTCATAGCGCCTGCTATACCGAGTAGAAAAGTATGTTGTTGTTACTTAATGTCGCCCACCATAATAGTGTTCCATATATTAGTATAGGTTTTACGGCATTTGTGTAAAGCAAAAGCTATATTTTGGTATGTAAATTTTGACAAAAAAACTCTTCTGTAGGTATTCAAAATTCACCGACCTCACTGGCCTTGCTTTCGAGGTGTTTCATCGAGCTAAGTTTATGTTTATCAACGCTTACACCGAATTACTTGACTTACTACTTTAGATGGTGAAATAAATTGGTGAGCTTTCGTCCATGCAAACCTCACCTCGTCTACCATCCAAATCTGCTGCATTCACCAGTTTCAGCACCTGAAATTTTTTTCTGTTCGCAAGATGGCAGAGACCAATGAGAGAACGTTGCTTTGTGACAAATCGTTGAAATCCCTCAAGAGCATGCCAAAAAAAGAGCAGCATCGGATATTGTAAAAAGTGTATTACATATGTGGTGGATCAAAATAGCAGTGTATGCCACTGTTTTGTTTGGACACATTCATTTCGCTTCGATATAAACTCTTGGATCAAGTCAATTAATTCTTAAAACCTCGAGGCTCCAGATAGCATTGAATCCATATTGAACTCTTAGATTGACGCGTTCATAACGTGCAACATGTTGCACAACTAAAAAGCAGTAAATAGCATTACATTGTTGCTTGATCGCAGTGAACGGATAAAGCGTTGAAAGCGAAACATATGTTTGTGCACGTATATATATACACACAATTGCTACACTACACTACTGAATGCGTGTGACATTGAAAAGATATTAATTATGAAATTATAACAAATAAATGGACTAGAAAATTACACAACGGAAATTGCATGTACTTGCCAGTAAATGTACATATTTATAATATAAAAGCAAAACGTACATATTAACGTGTATTTATAAATGTACGTATGAAAAGAAAAGTTGTTAATGCCATTTCAAATTGTCATAACTGTTGTAATGCAGAAAAGTTACAATGCAAACAAAGCTGATAATTGAGTGATTGTATTAACATAATAAATAAATAAAATGTGCTTTTACAGTTAGCTTTTATTGTTAAACGCAGACATTGTTTATTTTTATTGCCACTTACTTTTGTATTTTTTGTGCTTATTTCTGTTATAAATATTTTTTCATTCCCATTGCCAAGTGTTAGCACATTTTCCTCCTCGGCAATAATCACATCTTCGCTATTACACATTTTCTTGTTGTTGAATTTCTGTGTGTTTTGATATTTTTTCTGTGTTTTTACTTCTTCATTTATTATTGTGACATTAAATGAGCAGCTGGAGTGGAACTTGAGTGTTTCTTTTGCCACTCGCAACCACTTAATGGGGCTGTATGAAGTTGGAAAATAAAGCGGAAAATAAATGCCGACCCAGTAGTTATTGAGTGCACTCCACTACAAAACGGTAACCAATAAGAGACAACCTATTGGGTTTAATAAAGGAACAAAATAAATTAAATGAAATTAAATTAAAAATACCATAACAAAAAGGAAAAAAATTATTTAAAAAATAAAGTAAATTAGAGAAAAACAATAATAAAATAAAATGCTGGAAATTAAGTAAAAGAAAATAAAATAGAATTTAATTAAATAAAATAATATAAAATAAATTCAAAAAAATGCATACAATAAGCTAGAAAAACAATTTAAAGTTAAATAAAAAAAATAAAAAATTAAGAAAAATAAATTGTAAAAAAAATAAAATATCACAAAACAAAATAATATAAATTGAAACAAAATAAAATAAAAAAATTAAAAAAATATATAGTTAATATAGTTAAATTAATTGAAAGGAAATGAAATAATCCAAACAAATTGTAATAAAATTTGAATAATAAAAAAATAGAAAATAAGTAAAAAATGTTTACTATATAAAGTAAACTAAAATGAAATTAAAATAGAATATATTAATAATATTATATTTAAAAATAAGTTTATTTATCTTTGATATAACAAATAAAAAATAAATAAATTTAACTAAAATAAATAAATAAAAAAACGAAATCAATTAGAAAAATAAATAAATAAATAAAAGCAAATATAATAAAAGGTAAACTAAAATAAAAAATTGATAAAATAAAATTGGTCATACTTAAATTGAAATAAATGAAATCACAG